CATGAGTGCCCCTGTGAGGTACTCTTTGTCAAAGGAGATGCTCACAAAGGCTCCTGATGGCTTTGCGCTTATGAGCGCTGAGGAAGAAGTGAAGGAGATGCAGGCCATTTCATTTTTGACTGAGAATCGCTTCCCGCCGACTATTGCAATCCTGGACATTGGATGCACTAGAGCTATGGGATCAAGGCGAGCAGTCGACCATTTTTGCAACTATGTCGACAATCACCCAGATTGTGGATTATGGTACTCTTTTGAGTCTACCAAGAGCAAGTTTTACTTTGCCAATTCCCAGAAGGCTACTTGCTCTCAGAAACTGGTGATTTACATGTATGATCGTGCATGGACGATCCACCATACAGAGTTCGACATAGTGGAAGAAGGAGAAGTCCCTTTGCTTATGAGCTTGCCACAGATGAGGAACTTAGGCTTTGAACTCAGGCTGACACCTCAACATGCTTATCTGACATCGGTGCCTCTTGGTATCAAATTTTTGGAGTTGAAGGTTGCAGCCAGTACTCATCTTGTGTTGGACTTCCAAGATATTGCATGGTATCTGTCTGACGTGCGTTGGCAGACTCAGCGTGAGAAGAGTTTTTACTCTCACCTCACTCACTATGAATATGGCCATATTTCTGTTGAACACAATAGTGATGAAGGTGAAGCTGAGCATGCATATCCTGTGGTTGATTTCTGGGAAGTAGATGTTCACAAGAGAGAACTGATACGTCACCACAAGGATTACAGGAAAATTCTTTTCCCAGCAACTAAGTCCTGTCCTGTAGACACTGACTTGCTGGAAGACTTGCGACTGACAATCATCAAGAAGAAAGCAGGAGGAGAAGAAATCAAGAAGACAGATGATTGGCGCAAGGCAAAATGGAAGGACCTACAACTTGGCTATGAATGGCGTGGTAGAACAATTTTTAAATTTAAGCCAGATGCCAAAATTCCAGATCTAAAGATCAGGAAGGCTGGCATTGAGCACCGTGGCATTGGTGATCCCGATGCAGTGGTGCGCTCCTCCTCAGAGAAGGTTCCCATTGCAAAGGACAGGGAACCAGGCTTCTCGTCAGAGAAGGAAGGTGCACCATCCAGTGCCGCGGAAAAGCCCGTGCCGCCAAGGTTTCGGTATACTTCCAAGGGTTTTGATCCATTTTGGAAAGGACACAAGTCAAAACCATCTGAGCCTCAGAATGATTTAAAGGGTGATGATCTTGAGGAGTATGCTCCCTCAGAACCACCTGAGAGGCCAGAAGGTGAACTTGTAGAAATTCCTAAAGCATCAAAAGGACCATCAAGTGATAAACATGAACCACTTGAACCAGGTGATGGCGCTCTTGAGCCTAGGCGGATTTCAATCCCATTACCTGGTAGTGAAGTTGTTGCAATGACACCGGCATATAGGAAGATGTTACAGAGACTGGAGGACAAGGTAGAGCTTTATAAGCTTCATGTGAAGCACTACCATATGAGTCCTACTCAGTTTCGTAGACGTGTTTCTATGTTGAAGCTTCCTGACTCTGTTTTAGAGAAGTATGAATCAGTTGTCAGGAACTGCCGTGTTTGTAACACTTCAGTGGCACCTCCGCCACGAGCCAGAGTCTCCGGTATTAGAGCTTCATGTTTTGGTGATGTTGTTTTTGCTGATCATTGTGAGGTTGAACTTCACAAGAACAAGTATATCATTCTACTTGTTCTTGACGGTGCCACAAATCTTCTCTGGGCTACGGCACAGAAAGACCTCATAGATCAAACCACCATCCAAGCATTGAGGCAATGGTCTGATGAGAACAACTGTGTTCCAAAGGCCATCGTAGGAGACGAAGCCTTTTTCACAG